TATATAAGGGATTTCTCCAGGTACTTCAACTTCCTCCCACAGTCCAAAAACATACATGCTAGCTTAATTGGTATCTTTAATTTGCTTTTAGCAGTGACTTTGTGCTTATATGGTTTTGTTTCTCTGTGGTGTCATGTCGAGGGTTGAACAAGGATATTCACTACTTTGCAATAATAATATATAACTTCAGGTAATATGCATCAAAATCTGACCAAAATCTCAATCCTTTGCCTCAGTATCTGCTGGTAGCCACATGATTCCCTGTCTTTTCCTTGGTGCGTCTCTATGGTTAGATTGTTCATTTGCTCCTCTGGAAGAGTTTGAACGTTTCTTCTTGAACTTATCATCTCTGGTCATATCATCGTTTAAATGCTGCATGTTTTCTCCTCTGTGGCTTTCAGTTTTCAGGAGATCTTCAAGAATGAGATCGTCTCATTGGTCTTATTATATCTGCCTCTAGCTTCAGCTGAAAGAGCAAAACAATCTCCCAGAGACCTCCCATCCAATGTCTTGGGTCAGACACGCACTTTGAACAGAAGTAGGCAGAGTTATTATTAAAAACAAACAGCAGAGAGCATCTTATTCCTTAGAACTTTCAACATCTGGCATTATTTTTACATTATGCTGTACACTAAACCAGTATTAAAACAATTTGAACTTAAAAAAAAAAAAAAAAGCGAAATGAAATTTTAGAGTTTTAATGAAAATAAAATACTGTAGATGAACATGAAGAACATACAAATGTTTTCCATTCTCACTTATTTGTGAAAAAACAGGCTAGATAGTCAGATAGTCTTTGTTGACTAATATGGTGACATCGAAAGATAGCCTGATGCCATTTTAGATTTGCCAGCGTACAGCTTGAAATGAATGGTGTTGCCGTTTACATCTGCCAACACGAAAAATTTTATGCTCTATTTTGTTGGCTTGGATTTCATGTATTGTTTGATACTAAGCCGTTCCTTGGTCGGAACCATCCCCTCGTCTACTGCAAGGTGCTGTCTTGGGTGGTATGAGGCA